AGGGTTGTGTGCTGCTTATGAGTTTTTCATCCTATGCTAGATAGGTCCCAGGACTGCCTTGTACTGGGGTCTTGGTGGAACCAGAATGGTCAGGGTGTCCCTGGGGTGGCTGTGAATGCCAGAATTTCTCCTGTCACTTCAAGGCATGCGGGTAGGAGGGGGAAAGGGTGGGTGCTTGCGGAGGCAGCTGGCAATGCTCTTCACATTGAGCACACAGGGTAGTGCCTGGACACATGTTGACTTTCCCTTTTTTTTTTTTTTTTTTTCTGGTCTGGCCTTTAGGGCCGACGTTCCTGCTGCAAACAGGCTGGTGTGTGCATCCTCACTCATGTGGATGCCAAACGGCCTGTGGGTGTGGAGAGGCAGACCAGCCCTCCAGCAGGATTCTTGTGTGGCATCCCAGGGAGCAGAGCTCCAGTGTACCTTTTGTGCCAAAGCATGTTGGTATGTGACAAGATGACAATGCGTGTCTATCAGTTAGAGAGCTGTTTCTTTGTTTTTCCCCTTGGTGAGGAAAAATCAATTTATAAATTGTCTTTCACAGGTAGAGACAAGCTATATACCTTTCCTTCAATCTGGTGGGGGTTTCACAGTGCACCTGCAATAACATGTGCTCATTGTCAGGGAAGCGTTGTAATAGTTGCCTGCAGAGAATATGGAAAGGTGTTATCATAAGTGGACAGTGCTGTCATAGTCAGCACTACAGAAGAAAAGGTGTTGAGGTAGTTGAGCCTTAGAAAGGGCTGGATGGGACAGAGTTTAAGGTCAGTTTATGTACAGTGGTCAGTTAGGACATACCCAGGATCTGACCCAGGATCACTGTGTACGTACTGCAGTTAGGAAAATAGCAATCTCACAGAAGAAAGGTTAAAGCTTTAAAGCTTTGTGTGAAATAAACAGTTCTAAGAAGGTTACACATTTTTACAGAGGTATGTCTGTAACTTTTCTCATAGCCGCAGAACCGCAATGGGCATTACTGGTAAGGACTGAGGAGCAGAGATGGAACATAAGGCAGGGAAGGGTCTGTTGGAGCATGGGTCTGACTCTCCCTTTTCTGTGTAGGTCTCAGGTTCTTCTCCTTTCTTTTCACAAGATCATCTTACGTTCTTCATCCGTGTTTGTGTGTTTTGTTTTGTTTTTTCTCTCTGAGGAGGCAGGTGCTGCAGGAATTCCTGGACAAGCACTGACAGTGGGATGTGAAAAATACACATTAGACCACATCTAGCAGAAAAAAGTGTAAGCCTAAGGATCAGAGTAAACAGTGCTTATCTAGGTTTGATACCTAGCAATGCATTGTCAAAGACTTTTATGAACAATCCTTCTCAATCAAGTGCATATTCAATACATGAATATTACAGCAAAAATAAGTACATTAGTGATCCATTAAAGCAAGCTGATTGCACTGAGGTAGCATGTATAGTGAAGGCTAAATCCAGTAATACCTCATTTTGATGTTCCCTTACATGAAAGTATCTAGCGCACATTAAAATATTTATCATACTATTTTGTTCATTGAATGGACCTTGCTACTAAGAAAAACCTGCCACGAAGGAGATATAGTCATCAGTTTCCTTAGAGGAAGTGTCTTGTTATGTACTTTAGGGCTTACCGTACATTTTGACAAATAGTAGTCAGTGATAGGTTTCCCTTTAACCCCTGGGATTAAAAGGATTTATGACTCAAAGACAAAAATGTTTCTTGCAGCTGGGTTTGAGGAAGTTGCTGGCAGTCAGAAGTAAAGACAATTGTGTGGAGTCACTGAAGTTTTTAAAAGACAATATTCACCTTTTATAGAAGGCTCTGCACTTGCATTACTAAGTATACTTAGCATTGTACACTTTGTAGTAAAGAAGCCAGGTGACACATAGGTAATCAAGTCATTATATTCTTTAAAATGGATGGATATGATAGAAGAAATGGTGAGATCCCTGTTATAAATCTCCAGATACTTCAGAAATTGAGAAAGCCTTTTTAGTTTGTTTCCTGTGGTGGCTGGAAGGACAAAAGGTGATAAAAACACTATTTTCATGTTTTAATGTGATGGATGGTATTCATATAAGTCTCGAAGAGGAGAATAATGTTGCTGGGTTAGGATGATTTACTTAGCTTAAACTAAGTAGGAGAGCTGTCCCTGTGATTTGGTGGAATGGGAGAATCAGTAAAACGGACTGTCACCGTTCTTTAACGAAGGGCACCCTGGAACTGCTGGGCTATTAGGATACTTTGCCGGATACTTTTTTAACACTTTGCACACTTGGCGGGAACCCCGCAGCTGTGAGGCCTGCCTTCATTACAAGGGTCAAAAAACCCTCACACCAGGGAAGTCTCTTTCCCCAAGCATGTGTAATAGTAGGCACAGTGAGCAAGCAGTACTATAATTGTATGTAAATTACTAACCAAACAGTGTGAGAGGAACATAGCTAGAAAATTACTGAGTGTATAAATACAGTTTGGAAAGTTAGGAGCGCGTGCCCGATTTGGGGGAAAACACAGCGCTCGTCTTTGAAATAAAAGAGCAAATATCTCTTTAAGGTGACGTCAGCACGCAGGGCACGGACGGCTCGCGCATGTGCAATGCCTTCAGCGCGCACTACTGCCCCCCTGTGTCGAAGGGAAGGGCACAAGCGGCGGCCGGGCAGACATGCGCACTGCGCTCCCCTGGAGCGCGCCGCCGGGGGCGCGGACGTGTGCGGGGCGGGCCGGCGTCACCGCTCCCGCGGCTTCCAGGAGAACGGTGCTGCGGCCAGGCACAGGCACAAGCGCTGCCCACGGACACTGCTCCGCTGCGGGTCACTGCGGCGCCCGGCACACAGCAGCACAGCCGCTCATGGCCGCGCCCTCCCATTCTCCCTGCCGGAATGGGGAGGCGCATGCGCACATCGCTACTCGCGCCGCGCCTCTGCCCGAGCAGAGCGCTAGTGCACGCGCCGCAGAGAGGCGCATGCGCACTGTGCGCTCTGCGCCGCCCGTGGATAAGGGTCAGCATTGCGCGCGCAAGGGGGACGCGCAGGCGCACAGGGCTCCTCCTTGCTCCGCTGCTCGCGCGCGTGCACGCAGAGGGGTGGGGCGCATGCGCACTGTGTCACGCGGGGCTCGCTGTGGCCTCGGCCACGCACATGACGGTACTGCGGGCACGGTCGCCCCCGGCGGCAACACCGCGCGATCACTGCGGGCAGGAAGCGCGCTGCGCAAGGGAGGGTGGATGGGCTGTGCTCGCTGCTCCTCCCACTTGTGGCACTTGCTGGGGAAGTGGCGACGGGTGGCGGCGTGGGTGACACAGATTTTTTTCTCTTTTTTTCTGAGCGGGCTCTCGTGGCGCTGTGTGCAGGATGTGGATGATCGGGGCAAACATGTTGTGCCCAGTGCTTAGAGACACTAGCTAGATGGCAGGCTAAGGAATAAGTGGGGAAAAGAGAAGACTTTAAAAAGCCTCAGGGAGGCCCCAGGAAGCAGAAGGGCTTACAGGCACCTCCTCAGAGCAGGAGGAATGTCTCGCTGCAGCCCCAGGACAGTGGGGACTATTAATGACCTTTAATTGCCAGAAGCCTTGTGAAAGCAGAAGGGACTAGAGAGGATGTGTGGAAAGTTCTGAACTTTGCATAAGATTTAGACATTCAGCAGCGCCCTCTTAAAACAAACAATTCCATGTGAAGTACTAGATGAGGATAGCTTTGAGTAACATGTGAGAAGCGGTGAAGAGAAGCAGTTGCATCAGACAATCTGACAACCTTGGAGAAGTGGTCCAAAAACGTGCCGCCCTTGCAGCCTCCTCAGTCTTTCTGGCTTGTTTTACAGGGTAATGCAGCAAGGAAGGTTGTCTTGAAATGAAGCAGTGTGGCCTGCTGATCCAGGCGCTGCTCCTTGCCTATGAGGCCACATCCAAGCGTAGGAGGAATCCAGGAGCTGGCTGAACATGTTTCTAGGCTTGATACAGAGAGGGATCAGTCGAGTGCTGTGATCTTTGTGTCGAATTAAAGATGGACGATAGGATTGATTAAGCGCCTTTCTGCAAGGGTTTGAGAAAGAGTGCTGAGCAGTGCCCTAATGCCAAGGCAGACTAGAACTGGGGTGTTGTGGGCGATGATGCAGGTCGCTGTGAGGGGACGTGGCTGCCTGTGTAATCCCTGACCCGTCTGACTGCACGTCAGCCGCCCTACCCTGTGCTGGAGGATTCAGCAGTGCGCGAGGTGGCACTAGTGGCAAGGAGCTCACTGGCAGTAGAGTGGTGGATACAAAAGTAAGTTAGCTGTAGCAAAGAATGGGGCTTGTGTACACATAAGCAACAGCTCTGTAGTAAAAATGACTGTTTCACACAGTACTAATCAGGAAAAGTAACAATTTTGATGTTGTAAGTCTTTTGGAAGGGAAATTTCTTTTGGAAGGGAAATTATTTTGGCTGAGGTAGAAAAAAAGTAACGGGCACATTTTTTTTCAAAGAAGAAATATATCAGAAGGAAATATTTGGAGAGGATTTGTTTTGGAAGGAATTTTTTGAGGGGAAAATATTTTAGGAGGATTTTTTCTGGGTGGAGGTTGGCAGATAATTATTTTTTATTGGCGGAAAATAGTTTTTTATGGGAATAGTTTTTGAAAGCGTGAGAAACATTTAATTCTTCTTCAAAGTTACTGGTATGTACAAGGCAAATATCTGAATTTGGAGACTTTTATTTTTATTCTTATTTTTGTTTTGTATCCCTGTTGTCAAAGAGAAAGCAATAACTACGGTTCTTCTTCTGGCCCACGATAAAAATAAAAGTTTTCTTGTTCTTTCTTGTAGTAGTAAGGCAGCATTATGTTCTTGCTGTAATGCCTGTTAGAATGAGGGTCAAGACAGTGAAATTAAGGAGACCCAAATGTGTGATCTAATGAACTGAGGGCTGGGGAACAGAATTGCTATGGTCAGTAAGTAGATCATATTTTCAACCTCAGCAGTTACTGGAAGAAGTTCCCTATCCTTGTCCTTGAATTACTAAATCCTRTGTCTCAGAAATTCTAATTAGGAAAAGGATAATGAAGACCTTTTAAGTTTGGATCTCGTTCAGTGTTCTTCAGGTGTGTCCTTTAGTAGGTCAAGAGACAACCTGGAAAGACAAAGTAGAAAAAAAATACCAATGCTTCCTTTTGCAAAGCTGGCACAAGCTGTGGTTTTTAAATAACAATGTTAACGGTGTTAGTTATCTTAGTACCTTGATTCTTACCTTAGTACCTTACTAAATCCCATGTCTATTCTTTACAGAGCTCCTCTCATCACCAGTATCCACCAGTATCACCAYCAGGAGGATGAGAACATTCCTCCTGCCCTTTTGTTTACTGCCTGTGCTACTAAGAGCAAGCTGCAGTGAAGRAGACAGTCRGTGTGCTTGGAGCAAGTGTTTTGTCCCATACWGGAGGGAGGGCGGGTGTGCAGACAGAGTCGTGCCATTCAAAGCACAGCGGTGAGTGACAGGTTTCCTTTCTAGCCCCRCGGAGCAGCAAGACCTGCCATTTAGAAGAAGCTGCAGCCAGTGCAAAGKATTGCCAGTTGTRCGGAGTCCCTGGAAACTCTTAAAAGAGAAGCYGTCATTCACCTTTTTGGCAAAGGCTCTGTGTTTTCCTTCCGAACGGACACTGTGGGCCCAGAAACAGAACCGTGTATTTGGGAGACTCGAAAATGCAGCGAGATTGCCTGTCTGTGGCCCTGTCCTGCACATRGAGGGCATCAATGGTGACTCTGGTGCTGTCTGTGCCTGTAGCTGCTATTATGGGGTTCTAGGGCAGTTGCATGGGGGAGGCAGATGCCAGGGCAGCCTGGAGCGGGTCCCGAGGAGGGCGGGGATGCCGGGGCAAGGCCGTGGCGGGGAGTGCGGGGCCACGGAGCACACTGGGGCTCTGCTGCGCTTCCTGGGGTCCGGAGGGAGCGGCGAGGCCCCGCCTCCTCCATGGGGAGACGCCATGGAACGAGGCTGCCCCGGCGAGCCGGGAACGGGAGTGTTCCGGGAACGGGAGTGTTCCGGGAACGGGAGTGTTCCGGGACCGTGCTGCCGCGCGCCATGTTGCCTTGCGCGGCATGCTGGGAATTGTAGTCAATCATGAGGTGGCTTCCGGGCGGCCATGTTTTACTCTGCACAGCATGCTGGGAGTTGCAGTCTTTAATCAAGAAACTTGTGCGCGGTCATGGTGTRGTCTGCAGGGCATGCCGGGAATTGTAGTTTTCCGTCATGGGACTTCCGGGCGGCCGTGTTCTAATCTGCAGGGCATGCTGGGAGCTGTAGTCTCTCCTCACTAGGCTTCCGG